AGAGAAGAATATATACTATGGCAGGAGAACCACCTTATAATCCACCGCCTCATTCTTCCGGCGCTGACCCCTTTCGCGCACAGGAAGTATCCTCAATTCCCGCAAGATCAGATCTTCGGTCTGACTGACGCCTTCCGTAAACTCGATGTCGACGATAAGGGCTACATTGATGAGGCCACGGCCATCAAGGCGACGCAAGCCAGTGAGCGTCAGCCGTATGACGTTGTGCGACAAGCGCTGAAGGAGGTCGATCTCGACTCCTCACGGCGTGTGGAGCTCGAGGATTACGTCGGTGTACGTTTCATCCTCCCCCCTCCCCCCCCTCTCCGTGCCGAGAAAGTTCCTTAGTGCTCTGCGCAGAAGCTGACAAAGTGATGGATTCATAAAGCTCATCGCCAAGCTACGTGACTCCTCGCCCGCGCAGAAGCGCATGTCGACCGGCCCAGCGCCGGGTGCCGCCGCGAGCATTGTCGCGCAAGCCACCGGCGGAGGTGGACGCGCGCGTGCCACCTCTAACGCCGGCAAGATTCACGTCCAGGGTTCCAATGCCAACGTCACGCACACCATTAACGAGGATGAGCGCACCGAGTTCACTCGTCACATCAATGCCGTCCTCGCGGGCGACCCTGATCTCGGCAGCCGACTTCCCTTCCCCACCGACACGTTCGAGATGTTTGACGACTGCAAGGACGGTCTTGTTCTCGCCAAGCTGATCAACGACAGCGTGCCGGACACCATTGATGAGCGTGTTCTCAACTTGCCGGGAAGGAAGATCAAGACCCTCAATGCCTTCCACAAGACCGAGAACAACAACATCGTCATTGAATCTGCCAAGGGTATCGGCTGTTCCGTCGTCAACATTGGCAGTGGCGATATCATTGAGGGCCGCGAACACTTGATTCTCGGTCTCATCTGGCAGATTATCCGTCGTGGTCTGCTTGGCAAGATTGATATCAAGTTGCACCCCGAGCTTTACCGACTTCTCGAGGAGGACGAAACTCTCGAGCAGTTCCTCAGGCTGCCCCCTGAGCAGATCCTTCTGCGCTGGGTCAACTACCACCTGAAGGCGGCTAACTGGCCGAGAAGGTGTGCTTTCCTCCATCATGAAGAGTGATCTGTGGCATCAACTAACACGTCCCAGGGTGAACAACTTCTCCAGCGATATCAAGGACGGCGAGAACTATACTGTTCTGCTCGCCCAGATCGGATCCGAGTACGGCAACACGCGCGCGCCACTGCAGACCAATGATCTCCTGCAGAGGGCTGAGCAGGTTCTCGAGAATGCTGACAAGATGGGATGCCGCAAGTTTCTGACTCCGACGTCGCTCGTGGCCGGCAACCCCAAGCTTAACCTGGCTTTCGTCGCGAACCTATTCAACAACCACCCTTGCCTCGACCCCATTACCGAGGAGGAGAAGCTCGAGGTCGAGGATTTCGATGCTGAGGGTGAGGCGCGAAGCTCGTGTCTTCACCTTGTGGCTCAACAGTCTGGATGTCCAGCCCGCCGTTCAGTCTTTCTTCGACGACCTGAGGGACGGAACCATCCTGCTCCAGGCCTACGACAAGGTCATCAAGGGCTCGGTGAACCAGCGACACGTGAACAAACGCCCCGCCCACGGCGGCGAGGTGTCGAGGTTCAAGGCTGTGGAGAACACCAACTATGCGATCGAACTTGGCAAGCAAAACGGGTTCTCCCTCGTCGGTATTCAAGGAGCCGACATCACCGACGGTCAAAGAACCCTCACCCTCGGCCTCGTTTGGCAGCTGATGCGCAAGGACATTACCCTGACCCTGTCGGCGCTTGCGCAGCGCCTAGGGAAGAGGGAAATTACAGACTCCGAGATGGTACGCTGGGCCAACGAAATGTCAAAGAAGGGCGGCAGGAACTCGGCCATCCGATCTTTCAAAGACCCATCGATCGGCACCGGCATCTTCCTTCTAGACGTCCTCAATGGCATGAAGAGCAGTTATGTGGACTACGACCTCGTGACGCCGGGCCACACCGATGACGATGCGTACCTCAACGCCAAGCTCAGCATCAGCATTGCTCGAAAGATGGGAGCTACCATTTGGCTGGTGCCGGAGGACATTTGCCAGGTCCGCAGCCGACTTGTCACCACCTTTATCGGTAAGGAAAATAGGAAAAAGCCAAGCCCTCGTATTGTAACATGCAAGCTAACCTGTGCCCTTTAGGCTCTTTGATGGCAACATCGGAAAGGATGTAGATCGCGATTGGAGGAGTAAATGTGCAGACGCGCTCGGCCAAGCGATGCTGCTATGCGAATGTTATGGACTCGATTGATCGGGGTCATTTGCCGGTGATGGGTGGGGGTCTCAGCGCCGTCTTGTCACCAGCCAGCATTGCGCTCTGGAAGATTCTACGAGTTCTTATTCTACATGCGTAAAACGAATCACCGATCAACTTACTTTCTGTGCTTACAGTGTGTAATGTGATCAATATGCGGTCATCCCGGTTCAATTCACAAAGCGCAACTTGGCTGCTTTTCAATTCTGCCGCTGTGTCGTCTTCGTTAAACCATCGTAGGTATCGACATCAAGATACAAAATCCCGAATTGGGGAATCCTTGAACTGACTGCCTAAATCCTTGTTGGCGGTAACGCTGCATCTTGATAGAATGTGAGAAATATGCATAACCTCAAGGATGCCGGCTGTGGCTGCACCTGGTGTTGTGTCGTCACAGGTCGATCGGTATTACATAAGCGGGGTAGGCAGACGGATTCCCAAAACTTTTGACGCATGCAACCAGAGGCACCTATCCTCCCCCAATCCTGTGGTCAACGCGCATCTCTTGTTTTATCACCTGTGCCTGCCAATCGAGAACACTCGTCGCGGCATTCTTCTCAGTCATCCAATTGAAAGTACGATACATACTCGCTTCTTCATCTTTGTTTCCGCGCATTCCGCCAACACTACAACCATGTCGCGCGGCGGCGGAACCACGTTGTACGTCACCGGCTTCAGCCATGGTACTCGTGCTCGCGACCTTGCCTACGAGTTCGAACGGTATGTCCAACTGCAATCAATCAGCCTTACGTTGTCGATGCCTCCGCCCTCCTCTACCTCCACCTACCTGCCTCCTGCGCGCGATCCTTCCGAGTCTTCGACCGTCCTCCCTCCTTGATCCTCGTCGTCGTCGTCACTCGCTCTCCCCGTATCCAACGCCACTCGCTGTCGTTCAGCCTTGCGCCGCCCTCCTCCCACCGTTCATCCCGCCTCGATATCGTCTCGACAGGCAACTTTTGTTGCGCCGACTGCCAGCGACTGGCATGCTCAGCGCATCTATCGTTTGGATTAACGGTGGCACATGTCGTTGCCCTCCTGAAACCCACCTTGTTTGAAGTCACTAACATGAACTTCTTCTAACAGCTATGGACGATTGGTTCGATGCGATATCCCGGCACCCCGATCCGCCTCGAGCAGACTGTAAGTAGTTGTCGAACAGCTTTCTTGAGGTCCGCATTCTAACAACAACTCTCATCTAGCTTTGCCTTTGTTGAGTACGAGGATCGTCGTGATTCCGACGATGCCTACCACGAGATGCACAACAAGCGCATCGGACGTGACGATGTTCTGAAGATCGAGGTCGGTATTTCAAACTGTGTTTCACACCTCTGTTATTGCAGCGCCAACTGACCTGCTTCACAGTGGGCCCGCACACCTCCTTCTGCCTCTTGGCGGTTCGACTCCGGGTCGCGATCGTGAGCGCGCCCCCAGACGCTCCTCTCCCCGTCGTGGACGGTCGCCCTCTCCCCGCCGCAGCACGCGCGACTACTCGCCTCCCCCTCGAAAGGAAGACCGCCGTGACCGCGACTACGACCGCGACAGCGGCCGCGACCGATCCCGTAGCCCTGACCGACGGTACGATCAGAGACCCTTCAACCGACCGTGTTGCTCAGCGATACTAACTGATGTAGTGGCGACAGCCCCCGCGACGCGAAGGACGACCGTGACGCGAAGGACGACCGCGACGCCAAGGACGACCGTGACGACCGGGACCGCCGCGACAGCGGTGCCAATGGCGACGACCGTAAACGTACGTTCTCACCCCTCACACTCGCAAGCAAGCAGCTTTTGCTGACGCTGCCCGCAGCCATCGACAGTCCACCTCCCGTCCACGACGACCTGGACGTTGCGGAGTAGTGAAGTATACTGGCAAGTCGCAGCTCTTCATGAGCGATCCAAAACGGCTGTTGGGCGCAGGCTTTTGATTTCCCTTTTCTCCAAGTTGTTCCGAGTCTGCCAAAATTTTCCCTTACCTTCAATGGATTTTCTAGTCTCGATGCGCCCGAACCATTGCTCCATCTCCCACCCCCCTCTTCCGATATCTTCTTCTACGCCCTCCCATAACCCGAACGACCGAGCGACCGATCCTCCCCCCTTGGACCTGCGGAGCCGGCGGAACAACCATTCGAAGCACGACAACAAAACCGGACAGGAGCCCTCTACCTTTGGCGCACAAGCTCACCTCACTTCAGCAGACCCAGGGTCTTCCCAATATCGGACAATCGGTTACGAACACTTTTGTAGATTAGGTAGTGGATGTAGGTCAATTCCTTATTAACATGAAGCCCTCCGTCGCAGAACTGGCACCAGCTGCTCAAGGACATGGTGTCTTTCCATCCGAGACCACCACGGCCCCAGCTTGTCACACCCTGTGACCAATGAATTAGCTGTGACTTACTAGACAATTACCGTATTGCTTGAGAATGAGTCTTGGTACCGTATGACGGCTGATTGGATTCGTGCACATCCCTCTTCTGCTGTATGTCCTTAGTCCTCTAGCGTGCCAACGTCGTTTCCAGCGATTTTCCATTCATGTGCAAGCTGCAGAGGTTCGTGATCCAGTGACTCGCTGAACTTGTGGTCCCCCCTGGGGAATGAGAGCCTGATGCGTTGGAGGCAGCCAAGAGGGGAGCGACCCAGCTGGTGCTGGCGTTGCAGGACGGCTTCGGGCGGTTCAGGGCCTCGTTCGCTGGAGGACGACCCACTCTAAGGACCATCCTGTCCAAGCTGCCAAGCCTTCCTAGGCCACTCATTGGCAGAAGCCCACCAGCGTACCCCAAAGTACCTCCACTATCGAGGTCACGGCCATGGCAGCGGCTTGTGACCGCGGCCAGCGGGCGGGTTCGATCTTGCGTCAAACCTCCCCTAGTTTGGCCGACAACTCGTTCCCCATTCTCCCGACACCAACGTCTACCCATGATCCTCGAGCAGCTTGCCGGCCTATTCTGCGGGGGCACACCGGCCACTGTCATTTGCGACTGCGTCTTCTGAGGCTGCGACCTAGGAACACTTTCGCCTGTATCACCACAAATTGGACTCCTTCGCGCTGTCTCACAGTATCAACGAGACTGACCTAGCTCCTACGGTAGAACCGACTACACAGCGCAGCTTTTTGTCCACGAGCATTCACGGAGCTTCGCCCTGACTACTATCCGGCTCATTCATCAGCTACGAGGTGCGGCCGTCTTAATTGATTCGATCATCACTCGACCAACGGAGCATGCGGCGCAGAACTGTGCTTTGAACACATCCACAAGCTGCCACGAACCACCCGACTATGTCGCCCTACCGACAGTCCAGATACCTATAACACCATATAAGCTAGCCAAGCTCCCTCTGTCTCTCCTCTACGAATACAATTCCGCCGCACCTATATTGATCTCCATCCGATGATAGCAATTGCATCATTACGCAAGACCGCACCTATTATTTCCTTGTTATAGGCCCTTCGCAGGCAGTATCATTCTTTGCGCTGCGAAAGGCTCGAAACGAGATTTCTCTTCGCTAGCCGTCATGGTAAGTTGACGACCCTGTACTGGAATGACCAGACCTGTCTGCGAATGAGCATGGCTCTCATTCTTTTTTCCCTAGTCCGAAACCGAGATCGCCGAAGCCCGGGTCGCGCCCGTGGACCGCACTACACAATTCTACGAAACAATATCACAACCCGTCGTCGCGGCCTTTTGCGCCGGCGGTGTGGCCGGTGCTGTGTCGAGAACTGTCGTTTCCCCGTTGGAGCGGCTCAAGATCCTCTTCCAGATCCAGAGCGCTGGCCGAGATGCGTACAAGTTGTCTGTCGGCCAGGGCCTCAAGAAAATGTGGGTTGAGGAAGGATGGCGAGGTTTCATGCGCGGCAATGGAACAAACTGCATCCGTATTGTCCCGTATTCTGCTGTGCAATTCGGCAGCTACAACTTTTACAAGAGGGTATAGTTGCGACGTCTAGCCTCCTTGCCCTCCCGATCCGTGTATGCTGACAAGAAGCTGTGAAGAACATATTTGAAGCCTCCCCAGGCGCCGATCTCTCATCCTTAACACGCCTCATTTGCGGCGGTGCGGCTGGCATCACGTCGGTCTTCTTCACATACCCGCTCGACATCGTCCGAACCCGCCTTTCTATCCAATCTGCCTCGTTCGCCGAGCTTGGGGCACGACCAGACCACTTGCCCGGCATGTGGTCCACCCTGAAGTCAATGTACAAAACCGAGGGCGGTATGGCTGCCCTATACAGAGGCATCACACCTACAGTTGCCGGCGTGGCGCCATATGTGAGTGTTCAAGGCACAGACCTGTTCCCGAGACATTGCGGCTGACTGAGAGTTCTTGTACAGGTCGGGCTCAACTTCATGACGTATGAGATAGTGCGGACGTATCTCACACCTGAAGGAGAGCAAAACCCGAGCGCAGTGAGGAAGCTGTTGGCTGGTGCAATCTCTGGCGCTGTTGCGCAGACGTGCACATATCCATTGTAAGTCCTCACCTCACAACGCCATCAAGTCTTTGTTATCTAACCCCTGCTAGCGACGTTCTACGAAGGCGTTTCCAAATAAACACCATGTCTGGTATGGGGTACCAATACAAAGGCGTCACAGACGCCGTCAAGGTCATTCTCGCGCAGGAGGGTATTAAAGGTCTCTACAAAGGCATCGTGCCGAACTTGTTGAAGGTGGCGCCCAGTATGGCGTCAAGTTGGTTGAGCTTCGAGCTGTCCCGAGACTTCCTCGTGTCTTTGAACCCGGGAGCCGAAGAGGTCATCATTTGAGTTTGAGACGGCTTAGTGCTTTGATATTGTACAAATGATAGACGGTAGCGATCATGACCTCGGCTGGTGCAATCAAGAGAAGTTGAATGTTCAGAATCTTCTGCACCTGAGTGCCACCACAGCATCTATCTTAAGACCACTCAAATGCTTGCATTTCGGGAAAGGAAGAAGTCAATCGTTGTATACATGTTGGAGGTTGGAGCATCGTGATGCCATGGAACCTTGTTACATGTAGTCTTTGCTACACCGAGAATTCAACATGGCTCTCACCGAGGTAAGAGAAAAGCATGTGGGGCGTCAGGCCAATCAAAACCATCATGCCTAGCGAGCAAAGTCCCGCCCTCGCCAGCTCTGATGGTCCGAGCGTCTTCACAACTGCCCTAGTAATTTTCGCCCACAATTCCCCTCCCACCTCCAGTCTTTCCAAGGTGTGGGAATTTCTCTTTTTTTCTTTCTCGAACGAACCTTCCGACAGCGACAACCACCACCCATCGACTCAGTTCCGGACATCGCGAAGTCGACGACAAGATGGGTACGTAAACTCCCACCATCCGAGCCTTTATACCATGCGAGTGGGGTTACCTTCGGGTGCTCTGCGACCTGGCACGCGCGCACTTGCCTCCTCGCCGAGGACGAACCGCCGCAGCAGTCCTTGAGCATGATCGATCGAAAGGCTGACGATGGATTCTTCCCCTCACAATAGGCATTGATCTCAACCGTCACCACGTGCGCGGCACTCACCGCACGGCTCCCAAGAGCCAGAACGTGTACCTGAAGCTTCTCGTCAAGCTGTACCGCTTCCTGGCCCGTAAGCTTCCCCGTCAAGGCTCCTCAAGAAGAAAAAATCTTGGAACGAGAAGGCATTGGGCTGACCAAACGTGACAGGCCGTACCGATGCCAACTTCAACAAGGTCGTCCTCCGCCGCCTGTTCACGTCCCGCATCAACCGCCCTCCCGTCTCTCTGTCCCGCATTGCGGCCAACATCAAGGAGGATGAGAAGCGCACCGTCGTTGTTGTCGGCACTATCACCGACGACAACCGTCTGCTGACGGTCCCCAAGGTGACCATCGCCGCTCTGCGATTCACCGCCACTGCCCGTGCCCGTCTGGCTGCTGCCGGCGGCGAGGCCATCACCCTCGACCAGCTTGCCCTCCGCTCCCCCACCGGTGGCAACACCCTGCTGCTCCGCGGCCCCAAGAACGCCCGTGAGGCTGTCAAGCACTTCGGCTTCGGCCCCCACAGCCACAAGGTATGCTGCCACCCCTCGCACAACAGCCTGTACCTTCTCTGCAACGGCTTGCTGACCCCCCTCTGCAGAAGCCCTACGTCGCCTCCAAGGGCCGCAAGTTCGAGCGTGCCCGTGGTCGCAGACGCTCCAGGGGTTTCAAGGTGTAAGCGGGTTTTACGACGGAATTGGACGATCTGGGTCTGCTGCGGTTTGGCTCTCGCGTTCTTCGCGCCACGACGCTCAACGGAAGACGCGGTCTCGGTCAGGGAAATGGTTATGCATGGTACTGGCGTCGATCGGTATCCCAAAATTCGACGTATGCGAATACACACTCTGGCTTTTTGCCTTTACCAAGACTGGCCCCGGCTCTTGCATGTACCTTCCCGCTCGTGGCACACGGCCCATTTCTTGTCCCCAGATCCTAGTAAACCTTTCCTTGACGAGTGTCCTCGATGTGTGCTTGGATCTTCGTGAAAGGCTAAGATGCAGCGTTCATCGACTGTGGATTGACGCGTGAGACCCTTCCAAGATATTGCTTATGGCGCCCGTCTAGACCCACAAGCAGTACGCTCCTCGGGCTTCGTGCGGGTTATGGTCACTTGTCGTGCTTTCAGGATTCCACCACTCCACGAAAACGCTCACCCCTTGTAACCCTCACTAAGCAACATCATTCATTCGGCACAGAGTACAGGCAGGCGGCTACATTGCAGTGTAACTTGACGTTCCCGTACGAGCGCAACATGAGAGTCATGCGTGGCGAGGTTAAGGACTGGTCATTTCTAAATACGCAGGCACTCTCTGGCGTGCCTTGAGCCGCGGTGCCTGCCAGTTCCTACTGATACAAATCGGCCCTCTCGGGCACAGTCTGCCCCTTTTTTGGACATGCAGACTTTGAAGCTCTAGTAGCCAGTCACTCTAGTAGCCAGTCACTCTAGTAGCCAGTCACTCTAGTAGCCAGTCACTCTAGTAGCCAGTCATTGAGCTCCTCAGACAGGCGTTGCTATTGTACTATGCTGATGCAAGGCCACGAAGCTGGGGATGCAATGCTGTTGTGGATCTTTTCTGCGGGCTCGTCGGCCCTTTTGGCCATCTCATCTGCCGCCATTTACATGAAAGGAGGCAGAGAGAAGGGGTATCCGCCGTTCTTGATGCGGAAGACGCTGAGAAGGAAGCTGTACATGATGAACATGACACCAGCACCAGCCAAGATGGCTATTTGCTGCTTCTTGGGATCCTCAATTCGCGGCACTTTTACAGTCAGTGCAATGGCGCAGAACGCCAGGACACCATCTGGGAGTGCATTAGTCAAGTCACTCATGATTGAAGGGTTTGGTGGCAACTTACAAATGGCAGCGACGATCTGTGTCTCCATGCCGAGCTGGTTCTGGAAGCCACCAGTGAAGTAAGTGACGCCGCCCTTGCCATTGCCGACAACGTACGGTGTCTTGCGGATCAGGGTGAACATGTAGCCGCTGGTGAATAGGAGGATTGTGATAAGGCTGAAGACGGCCCAGAGGTTGCGGCTCCTAATGACAGGAAGGACGTAAGGAGAAGCCGTGATGAGGGCAGTGCCCAGGCCAAGCGTGACGACAACAGTCGAGATCCATCGCATCCAGTTGATGGGACGCTTCACGCTGGGTTGGGGGCGGCCGTCCATGTGGCGAGCGAGCCACGAGTGGACTTGTTCGGCAACCTGGGGTCTGCTCAAGTTAGTGATATGTTTCAGGAAACACAGCCCAGTCTCAATTATACGTACCCGCTGGTGAAGTCGTAGCGCAAGGGCTCGGAAGATGCGACAGCGTGGGGTCCAGTAGTAGGCAGATACAGCAGCAGAACAGGTGCGGTTTGAAGTCCGAGCTAGGCAAGAACGTGACGTTAGCTAACTTGTCTAGAAGCTCGCAAGCTCAAAGGCACCCTGGGCGTTCGGAGTACTTACCGACATGAATGTATCCCGGCCATCAGCGAAATCCAGAGTTCCGAAGATCATGCGGGATTCGGCTTTCTTGTCGCCCTTGGTCCAGCTGCGTGACAAGATGTCCCACTCAGGTTGAAATTCGCGACACAGCTGGCATCCGAACTTAGAGTCGAGGGCTGTCAGCAACACCATAGTGGTGTAATCACGCGGCAACGCAGTGACCTGCTTGAAGGTTTTGTCATTAAGCTTGACGGGCGAGGACGACAGTGCCTTGGTGTGGAAGTCCTGGAAGCGCTCCTCTGGCGACTTGGCAGCCGCTAGAGCTCCTGACGCCAGAAGCGAAAGGCGAAGGAGGGAGGAAACCCAACGCATGGCGGGCTGAACTGAGATCGGCGAACGATAGGGTGTGACTGTATTCAATGCGGTGCACAGTCCCGCTTGCCAGAAAGATTGTCTGGTGCGTGGTGGGCGTTGTCGTTGACGTTGACGATGTGGCTTCCACCACGGTACTTCTGGTGCATGTGTCAATTGGAGGTCGTATTGGACACTTTGGGCAGGAGCACTGGGCAGGCGGGACCAGAGGAAGGGGCTACGTACCTTGCAACTCTCAAATCGACTAGCTGTTAACCTGATTGGTGCGAACGAGGCATTCTGGGGCCTTGTCTGTGTGAGTTACGTGGGGTAGGTGTGCACTTCCAGTCAAGAGCTCACAAGGTCACATGACAGTGACACTAGTTCATTCTTGGAATCATGTTTACTACGCCACGCTCAACATCCAAACACACGAAGATGTAAGCTCTCTTACAGAACAACGTCCACCCATCGGATCTTCCATAACATACAGTCTTATCCTGCTCTTGTCTGTGATAAAGGCGTCTTTTGTCGCTTCTTTGACACTCAAGTTCAGGCTACCTATGACAGATATCTGACAGTATCACGTACCCCACCACACCAAACGCGTACGTGACTGGCGGGATGCCTGTCAACACCCGTCTTCTGGACGCTGAGCAGGTATGGCATCCCTCAATCAGCGAATAATTACGGCCAGGAGCTAAGCCGATGGTTAGCGTCAACAGCGTATCCACGAGCACACCATGGCGCATCAAAGCCAGCTGCACCAAGCCGAGCTTGTTCTCAATGACGAGAAGACAAGGAGGCTGAGGGTACGAAAGCAGCTATTGGCAGACGATAATGATGCTTTGCAACAGCGCCTGAAGGTCAGCGGATCCCAGGTCACTCAGCTGTCGGGGCAGCTTGAACAGGCACAGTCGGAGGTGAAGGCAACGAAGCAAGCCTATCGCCAGCTTAAAAAAGCCCTCGATACCCAAGCACGGGAAGCCTCACACCTCAAGGTTTGTGCTTAACAGCTCTAGATCATCGTTAATTCCGCCATTGACTCATTTTCTGCAGATGGAGCTCGAGTCGCTCAACAACACAGCCCACGATTCCACCAAGGTGCTAGCCGAAAAGCTGGCTCTCAGTCGCGAAATTGCGCAAATGAAACCGGAACTTGAACACCTACGTTCCCAGCTGGCACATCAACAGACTGTGCTTGCGGAAAAGTTGTCTCTGGAGCGACAACTCAACTCGGCTGAGGTTGAGCTAGCCGCCGAAAGGCGTGCTCGGTTACAGTCCGCAGAGAAGCACGACCTTGACAGAGCCGACAGCGACGAAACAAAGCAGAAGTTGAAGGACGTCGAAAACCGATTGGCAGCCGAAACGCGCGAATTAGGACGACTTCGTCAAGCACTTGCATCAGCGCAAGACGATTCACGATCACAAGAGAAGAGGACCGCTGCGGACGTAGAACTGCAGGCAAAAGTCAAAGAACTCGAAAAGTCATTGGCGAATGAGAGAAACGAGGCCAAGCGGGCAAAGAAGGAAGCTGAAGTTGCGCTGTCTGAGCTACAGGCCCAGAACGAAAACCTCGAGTCCAGGGTGGACAGCCTCAAAACGAAGTTGCGAAGCACTCAGAGCGAACTGAAGGGATCCAAGGCGGAGCTCGAGGCCATGCGAGAGGCACACGTCACGAACCTTAAGGGCGCAAACCGCGCATCAGGACCCGACCACCACGCTACGAAGAAACGACGAGCTGTAGACCTGGGTGCTGAGGACATCACAACCGAGGCCGTCAATGATGGCGATTGGAAATCTCGCCGACCCGCTAAGAAACGAGGGCTTGACCAAACGCTTCTTGGAGAGAAGTCCACATTTTCGATTACGCCTTTCCTGAATCGCACCAAGGGTGTGAACGTCGACGCATCTGTGGACGAGGATGCAGAGGAAGATGAAGCGGATGTGAGCCACATTCCTCATGCCGAAACGGTCCGGAGGGCTGAGGCCGAGGCTGTGGATGCAGCCAAGGACGTGGAGAGGGCGCTCGTCTCTGCCACATCCGGAGCTGAAGGAAAGCAAGGCAAGGCTCGAGGAAGGCCTAAGAAGGCTCTTGCGTCGACGTCCCCCAACATTCCACCCTGCGCAGTCGCTCGACCAGACAAGATGAAGAAGACTGCAAGGAACGTTGCGGTTCTGACGCAGGTTACTGAGGAGTCGACTGATGTTGAAGCTCCAGCAGCCGGTACAATCAGCGCTACGCATGATGTTTCAGAACCCTCGATTGACGCCTCTGTCGAGAACGGGGCCGTCAAGCCAGCTGTTCGGGTTCTCGAGAAGAAAAAGAAGCGCAAACTGGTCGGTGACAGCTCAAAGACGATATTCGATGAGGAGGAAGCAGAGCCTGTAGATCTACCGGTCAAGAGGAGCAAACCAAATCAAGCTTGGACCGGGCAAGATTCTGAAGAATCCCAAGCTTGGCATGACTCGCAAGGCCTTTGCAGGGGCGGCGTTCTCTCCTCTCAAGAAAGATCGCAGGGGCGTAGGCGCGAGTTTTCTTGTATAGGTCTTGGTCTGGGACATGTTTGAGGTTGGCAGGGCTTTGGTCCAGTTTGGCGTTATTGATTTGAAGTGTACGGATGCATTAATCGGCGTACTAATGTGACTGGGGTGTCACAGCAGGTCAACGGTATGTTGCACATTTTGTGCAATACGAATATTACGTTCCTAACTGAGGAAAGTAAACGACAAGAACTTTGTACCACAAGAGCCAAACCTGCAAGTAACGTGACTGATTCTGCCTGCCGAAACATCTTGTAACAGTCCAATCCCTTATTCAAACGTCTTCACTTGTGAGGCTCTGGTCTTAAAGATCGCATCGTCGGTGGCTTAGTCAGCACGTCGCCGGAGCTTGGGCCTCAGAGTTCACTGATAGGTACCTTAGGTAGGTATGTTGTTGAACATGAAGGAAACTGACGAAATCACAAAACATTGATTTAATCGACCATCCTTCATTCCTTCTGCCACAAGCTGATCGTCTTTATTGCTGTAATTTATCACCCTTGATTTTGTTGTTTTTAGTGCCCAGTTATAAGCCATGAGCAGCAGCTTGACCGGCAGAGTTTATTTTCGACGCGTTCTCACGTCATTAGAAGTGTCGATTGCAACACCGTCCAGACTTACCATCCTTCGTCAACATAAAGGGCCACAGGTTCAATGCCGTCTATCGTCATCAAACAGTCGTTGGAAGGCACGCCAGGGCAATGATGTGTTTGCACGGGAGGCTCGTGTGCAGGGACTCAAGAGTCGTGCTGCTTTTAAGCTTCTTGAGGTTGGTACACTTTGTTCTCGTTACCACACGGCCATGTCCACCCAACCACAGGTCAGCTGTGAGAAGACGCAGCCACTAAATGTCGCTCCCAGTTGGATAGCAAATACCGCATATTCAAAAAGGATCAGGTAGTCGTAGACCTTGTAAGATCTCCCACTTACGTCACATGTGTCTCGGTGCTGATCGGAAGCTAAGGGTTATGCTCCAGGGAGCTGGTCCCAGGTCGCGGTGGAGCGGACGAAGCCCTCAGGCAGTGTTCTTGGGATCGACTTGATCCCGGCACAACCACCACGAGGTGTGTCCACTATCCAGGGCGACTTTCTCTCGCCAGCAGTGCAAGGTATGGTCAAGGATTTTCTGGTCCGGGCACAACGACGCCGCCGCCCCGATAAGAAACCGACAGTAAGCGCTGCGCAACCCGGCGAACAGTCTCGCAGCGAAGTTGAGTCTCCTGGCGATGAACCAGCCCTCAACACCACTGTCGAAGACAAACCGAGCTACATCGACCTGGAACGGGCGGAGACGGCAGACCCGACAACAGCCGAGGAGACGAGCAAGAGTTTGAAGTTGGTAAACGTATGTGTCTCTCTGCTTCTACGCTGCCAGCTCTGTTGGCTCCCTTTCCGCGGCTGCCGTGTGATTTGAACGCCTTGGCTTACCCATGCTAACCCGGCGAAAGGTTGTGTTGAGTGACATGTCAGCCCCATGGGACCAAACTTCCGGCTTCGGCGTGAACACACTTAGTAATCCTTACAACAGGATGATGAACACAAGCGGCGTCACCTTTAAAGATCACGTCGGCAGCATGGTCAGTGGAGCGCCCTTTGGTTTCTTCTCATGTCACTAATGCGGGGCCGGAACAGGATCTCTGCTACGCAGCGCTCCAGTTTGCCAGCGATACCCTCAAGCCTGGCGGTCACTTTGTGTGCAAATTCTACCAGGGCGCAGAGGACAAAGAGCTGGAGAAACAGCTACGAAAGCTCTTCGCCAAGGTATTCAGGGACAAGCCCGAGTCATCGCGGAAAGTGAGTTAAGTTCCCGCATAGCGACATTCTACCGAAGACATTGACCCTCGGCATAGGACTCGAAAGAGGGCTACTTCGTTGGTCTGAACAGGAAGGCAACAGTGCACCTGGGAGATTCGAGCGACGAACCGAGAACATAAGTGTAACAGGAGCAGGGAAAATAGAGTGTAAATTCCACAAGACTTTGCAGATAATACGCCATTTACATATGGCCTTGGTTCGCTCAACCGAGACGCGCATAGGCTGTCGTTTCGTCACGGAAGCATCGCACGGGTGTTACTACATGATCACTTACGGGCAGGACTAATGTTGCTCAATAAGAAATTTCGACAAATTATTCTGGCTCTGGGTTCACCCATAGATTACATGTGCATGACGTATTTACGATGGACATGTATCAGGACATTGATCGTACTCCTATGAAAGTCCAACCCTGCCGAGGTTTCATATAGTGTTGCGAAAGATGCCTTTGGGAATTGAGGCTCAAGTGATGCTTATGTCACCAAGAAGATCCCGCAGAGATGTAAGTGACTTCGCTCACAACCGCAGCGACCTATGTAATCTACGAGTTACGAACTAGCACACTTGCCCCTTCTCCTGTGAATTATCAACGCTTCGCCGTTCAATACAGAGATCTGGATAACGACGGTAGACTGATACATTTCAACAGCGAGATTCAAAAAGACCAAACATTTACGTTCGCATTCACTTGACTCGACGGATTTTGATTCATGTGCCAGGATTTTCATTGGGGTCGTCTTCTGGGTTGATGCCCAGTCTCCGTTCGATGGCTACCTTTTTAGCCAGCGTGCAATCATCCATCCCCTTAACGATGTTGATTGACCAACCCTGTGCATCCGAAAGACCAAACGAGGAAGCCAGCCTAGGACGCCCGCCATGATCTACCATCATCTCCAGTCCTCCATCCCCTGCTTCAGCCGAAGTTCCACGTCATCACATAATGCCCTTTACTTATCATGTCTAGGTGCTTTACGCCCTGGACATGACACCCCAGGCGCGGATGACGTTGTCGGTGTAGCCGGCGAAGAGGGTCTGGCCATCGGCGCTCCAGGCCAGGCTGACACACTCGGGCTCACGGCTCTTCTTGCCGACGGCGGTGAACTCGGGCTTCAGCTCATCAACCTTGCTCTTCTTCTCGAGATCGAAGATGATGATGCTGGTGGCGGTAGCGGCGCACAGCCAGTAGCGGTTGGGGGAGAAGACGAGAGCGTGGATCTCGTCGTTGGCGTTGAGAGAGTAGAGGTGCTTGGACTCGTTCAGGTCCCACAGCATGGTGGTACCGTCCTTGCCACCGGAGGCACACAGGGAACCGTCAGGGGAGATGGTGACGGTGTTGATGTAGCCGGTGTGGCCAATGTGGTCGGTCTGCAGCTTGCAGGTGTTGAGCTCCCAGACCTATCAATTATCCTGATCAGCACATGTTTTGCCATGGCAGGTATGCCGTGTAACAATTTGTGGCAGAATTCAAGAAGAAAAAGGTCGAATAAAAATCAGTGCATATGGTGAATAGTGGTCTCATGGCCTGCGAACAGGCTCTGAAGTAGCAAATACTTTTGGTTGCAATGCATCATGTGGGTTGCTCTGGTGCTCCCTCGTGCGAGGTCGCGAATGGGACAGGTGGAGTTTGGGCTTACCTTGACGAGCTTGTCCCAGCCGGAGGAGACGATGACGGGGTTCTGGGGGTTGGGGCTGAAGCGGACGCAGGAGACCCACTCGGTGTGGCCCTTGTCGGAAATGGTGAACTTGCAGTCACCGAGGGTGTTCCAGAGCTTGATGGTGCGGTCGCGCGAGCCGGAGACGATCTGACGGTTGTCGGCAGAGAAGGAGACGGAAAGAACGTCGTTGGTGTGGCCGACGAAGCGGCGGGTGGTGGTGCCGGTCGACAGCTCCCAAAGGCGGAGAGTCTTGTCCCACGAGGCGGACAGGGCGTAAGCGCCGTCAGAGGAGATAACCTGCCAGTCCTGCATCAGCCCATTGTCCACAGCAATCGCGACTTCTCTCAGTCGGTGGTTCCGAGGTTAAACATACGCAGTCCGAGACGATGTGGGAGTGGCCGTGGAGGGAGCGCTTAGGGTAGCCGTATTGGGACTCGTCGCGGGTCAGGTTCCAGATGATCAGGGTCTTGTCACGGCTACCGGACAGGAGCATGTTGGGGCTGTGAGGGTGTCGGAGTTAGCAATCGAAGATTCTCAGTACGACTGGCGCTGGAGGCTGTGTTTCGATCTGGGCGTGCCGCCATGATGCTCGACGGGTAACGAGATCAAGGTGTCGTGGGAGGTTCGCTTACTTCTCGATGGAGGTCGCCAGACTGGTGACCCAGCCATTCTGCAAAGGCGCTGTTAGCAGGTCTTCTTTTTGAAAATCATGTCGCGAGCGACTCTGCACACCATCTTGCCTGCCAGAAAGTTCCGACTGCGGCAAGATGGACTGACAATAGGGTGTCAACTTACGTGGCCCTCGAGGGTACCCTTCAGAACCAGCTGCTCAGCCATTCTCAATGCGCGATTACCGACACAGATAGATAGATGAGAAGGGAAGAGACGATTGTCGCGGTGTTGCAGGTTCGAGAGGTCGGAGTCCTGAAGCAAAATTCGTAGCTTTCTGTGGGAGGGAAATCGGATTTTGAGGTTAGGGCAGATTTCGCGTGGGGCTAGAGCCAATCGGAGCCAGCGTGGCTAGCTCGGTGGTCGACTGCCTACGTCCTCACCGAGGCTCCACCGAGAGCCAACCATCTGTTCCTTCCTTCCTGCACAGGTGCCCAGATCCCCTGCCATCTTTGCAGTCCTGTAAGCGGGGCTTCCCAGCCGATGTGGAGGCCAATTGCGGAAGTGGATTCAGGACTAGGGATCGTGGATACGTCGACATTCGCAGTCTCAAGTCCAAGGTCTCATCATACTCTGCAATGTGCAGGCAATGTACAGCTAGACAGTGTTGAAGAGATGGCTCCACTGCACTTTCAACTCGCTTCTCCCCTCAAATACTTGGGCTCTGACTGGGATGTTGAGTCCTTGGAATAGGGTTGACATGCGAACAGCAGGTTCAAGATGTATCATTCGGTAGAGACATGGGATTGTTTGCAATCCGGCATATGGACATTGCGTCCGGGTATCATTACTAATGTATCTTCCCCCCCGCCTACACTTGTGCATATAGCCAAGACGGCCTTGATTATCTCCCTGAATGTATGCTGCTCGACCACGGCAAGCGGCCATCATGAGAAGTGTGCTAGCTCAGCTGCCAACGCCGGACTGTCCTTGCGCCCCGGAGCCTCCGGCCCGTTTGCCCTGCCGCGGCACAGGTTTCCGTAGATATCTCGAATCAGCGTTGACAATCATGCTATGGTCGGCAATTTCAAGCTGCCCGCTCTCGCCGCCGTCCTGCTTCACGAACTTCTTCATAGCGGCCTCCCAGAGTTCATATCGTGATTTGGTAATGGTGTCGCGCTTCGACAGGTCGCTGACTTCCTTCTGCTTGCGCATCTTGGACGCGCGCACCAGGCCGCGAAGGGCCTCCTCGCCCTGCTTCGACGCCTTGGCAGCCTCTTCGCGAATCTTCTTGGAGTCGCGGCCACTGTCATCCTCTCTCGGCGTGTAGCGATATGTGTGGAGGCTTGGGAACTCCGGAAAAGGTCGGGGAATATGGGCTCTCTCCTCTTTCTCGTGCCTGCCGCTCAACTCGTCAGACAGCAGTGGCAGAGCGGCATCTGCACTCTCGTCGTTCAGCAGGGCGTTGAAGTAGGAGGGCGTCAGGTCTTCTTCAGGAATTGGGTTCTTGAGGTGGGGTTTCAACGAGGACGTGACGAGGGCGAACCGCCGCATGGTGGTCTCGAAATCGGCAGGTGTCGGCTGCTCTCTGCGGGCGCCTAGAGCTATGCGCTTGAGATCGTCGATGAAGGATGCCAAGTCTGAAAACGCACGTCAGCATCATGTCAGGCTGGAGAAGGCAGTGATCGCAACGCACACGTCTCGACGAGGGACACATAGCTAGCCATTGCTGTTGGCTCGGCACCATCGAATCCTACATGCTTCAATGCCAGGCCGATAGATCTCTCCAGACTGCATTGGGATTGGTATTCGAGTGATGGGATGGTGACGGAAGAGCTTGCGCGGCTCGCCCCAGGGTCAGGCTGGTCTGCCTCGTTCTGTCCGTCGACATCGAGTCGCTGCCTCTTGTTGTTAAACTGGAGCTCGTCACTAGCCTCAAGGCTTGCACCTCGTTTCCGTGGGCTTTCTGACATGGCGATGATGGGAAAGGGTTGGCTGTGGCAGGGAGGCTCGAGCGGACGGGTGGCCAAACTGAGCGGCAAGATAGGTTTGAACTTGGACCGGGCGAATTTGGAGGCTACAAAGAAACTGTATGAGTGCCGGCGCACCTGGCTCAGCTGCTTCTGCGAGGCGCGGATGCTGATGTGGTTGTCGACGGCGTGACGACGTTTGACGCGGAAATTCGTGGTCGCGCAGCACGGTGCACTGGAGGTGGGTTTTGCCGAGTCACTCGATCAGTTCCGCTAGTCCCGCTGCTTTTGGAGTCAACATACCATAAGCCACCTAAAGCGACACCCACTGGGCGAACAGTGTAAAAGGGTAATGCATTACACAGAACGTAAAAATACAGCGAGAGGCTACCTGATCATACGATCAAAGTATCAATGAAGAGCTGAAGTGAATGTCTACATGCTTCAAATAGACGAGTCAAAGCAATAACGCGCAACCGTCGTAAATAGGTCATCGAATTAATGGTGCTCGTCTTGATTGATGTGCCAACTAAGCCAACTAGACAATCAATACACGACGAAATGGTGGTCTGGGGATTGATGTACGTGTGGACCCAGCGAGAACCCAACAACAACTCCCTGTGGTGTAGTTGGCTATCACGTTCGACTGTAACTGGTATCATTTCCAATCGAAAGGTCACCGGCTCGATTCCGGTCGGGGAGAACACCACAAGAAGCTCAGCTTCTCCGTCTTTTTGTCTTTTGAACATCTTACCTTGTGTTGTTTGTCCAACCTTTTGACCCTTTTTGATGAGAGATTCGTCGTGCCGATGGCAGAAGATCGATTTTGAAGTGCTACAGCTCCTCCTTCCGCGGTGAAGAGGGCGCTGCTTTGCTCTCAGGTGCAACCCGTCCTCAGCACTTGCTTTCCCTGGCCACACCTATCTAAAGCCTACCTGGATGTTCCCAGTGCGGTCAAGGTCGCCTCAACTTACTCTGTGCAACGCCATCTAGACTGCAGCTCATTCAAGTGCCGAGTTTACCTATCTGCCTACGATGGGGCAAATCGAGCAGCTGATCGGGAACGACACGAATCATTTCGACGTTCCATCATAGAGCAATGGAGAAAACAAAAAGACACCACGTCAATGAAGCAAGTTGGCTTGACAAGTGTTGGTCGCCGTTTCGCCCGCCCTCTTTTCGCGAACCTGCAAATTCGGTACCTGTCAAATCTTGACCATCCATCGATTTGCGCGCACACTTGCGGGCATGCACTAGAGGTTTCCCTCATCGTCGCCTAGCTGTGTACACTTCATCTCACGCGAAACTAAGCTTTTCTGTTCAATGACCATTCACGTTTGCTTGCTGCCCCCCCCCGCGGCCGGCGGATGTGACTTGGCCTGTCCCTTGTCCGGCTCCGGCTACAGTGATCGCTGCAGCCACGCGACCTCTGCTCGCTTGATGAGACCCCGCTCACCCGCTCACTCGTTCAGGTCTTCACCCTTAAACCTCTTCCGTCCGGGCGACTCACGCCGGCAGCGTTTCTTGTCTACACTACGCCTCGGTCCTCATGTGCCACGGATCCAACCACTGGCCCTCAAACCCATTGACAGACCATGTTCCCGTTTGACCAGTCGGCCCTACCGAGCCTTCCCAAACGCAAGGCTCTCTTGGTGATTGATTTTCAAAGCGATTTTCTCGATGCTGAAGCCCCCCTGCGCGTCACGAGGCCCCATGGGTTCGTCGAAAAGACTGTGCAGTTTGCCGACGCGTTTCGCCAGCTGGGCGACGTCATTTGGGTATGCTCCGAGTTTGACAAGGTGCGGCCCATAGCCGGCGAGCAAATACTGGCGACCGACGAGACCCCGAAGCCGAGCGCTGTCACTGCTGCCGGAGCTGCCTCCGGTCGGCGGCGAGGCCCCAAAGTGGAACTCATCCCAGCTCCCGTCGCTGATACCGACCCCGAAGCCTTTCTCAGTGCTGGCGGCATTCCATGCGTTCGCTCGCCCTCCGGCTCACAAATCCCTGCCAACGTCAAGGACGCATCGCTGAAGCGCGATGTCACTTTCATCAAATCGCATTACTCGGCCTTCAAGTCGGGCCAGCTCCTTCATCTGCTACGCGGCAAGTTCATCACGCATATTTTTATAGCTGGCTCCCTGATGAACATTGGCGTCTTCGCCACGGCCCTTGACGCCGCCATGTACGGTTACGACATAACCATCGTCGACGACTGCTGCGGCTATCGTTCGCAAGTAAGGCATGGGAACGCCATCCAGTCAGTCATTGATGTCACTGGATGCGAAGTCGACAGCAGCAGCACAGTCCTTGAACAGCTTCAGGCGAAACCTGCGTCCGCAAAACCCGCTGTCGCATCACCGGCCACTTCTTCCTCTTCTGCCACGACGGCCAACAAGAAGGTTGGTGGTCTAGCCGGCGCCAGGACCCCGCCCATCCCAGGTCGTGTGCGTGGCAAGGCGTCGACGTCTGACCTACACGAGAAGCTGGCTGCTCTCAAAATCGGTAGTACCCCCGGCGGTCGCATTGAACCCGAATCTGATCCTAACAGCCTGGCGCTGGAGGTCGACCCCGATGCCCAGCCCTCCTCACACGACCTCAATAGCCCGAGGCGCAAACCATCGTCAACTGATGAGCGCGACCCAATCCTAGACCTGGAGGCGATCAGAAACAAGTACAGAACTTCCAAAGATGCAAGGACGGACACATCACAAGCCAGGAAATTGAAGCAGCACCGGCTGGCAGACTTGGCAGCTCCAAACAAGCCCGGAACTGTCGTCCCGGCACGCGTAGGCAAGGGTCTCGAACCGAAGATCATCGAACCAGAAGTCACGGTGCCCGCCACCGCCTCCTCGGACTCGACCTCGAAGCATGAATATGATCCTGCTGCCGCAGATGCTTTACCAGAGACCTCCGAGCCGCTCTGCGAGGGTGATACTGTCATCATCCACAATGTCCTACCGCCCAAATTGCTCGACGGCGTGTTTGAAAAATTGAAGGATGAGGTTGGTTGGCAGACCATGTCGCATCAAGGCGGCGAGGTTCCACGCAAGGTAGCTGTCCAGGGACTCGTTGCCGAAGATGGTAGCATGCCTGTATACCGACATCCCGCAGACGAGTCGCCCCCGCTCTTTCCTTTCACCAAGACAGTTCTTGAGATCAAAGCTGTAGTCGAGGAGAAGCTGGGTCACCCACTCAATCACGTCCTAATCCAGTTCTACCGGGACGGAAACGACTACATTTCCGAGCACAGCGACAAGACGCTCGATATTGTCAAGGGTTCTTACATTGTTAATGTCAGTCTAGGCGCCGAGAGAACCATGATATTCAGAACCAAGCGGGACGCGAAAGATCCCTCGAAGAAAACGGATAACATCCCGGAGGGTGCGAAGCGCAAGACAACGCGCAAGCAGCTGCCACATAACTCCCTCTGCCGCATGGGCCTTGTGACAAATATGCGATGGCTCCACGCCATCCGCCAAGACAAGCGTGCCGAACGAGACAAGACAGCACCCGAGCTTGCCTTTGCCGGCGGCCGCATCTCTTTGACGTTTCGCCAGATCGGAACCTTCCTTGACCGCGATGGCACCCTGATCTGGGGCCAAGGCGCCAAGGGCAAGACGCGCGCTGATGCCCACCCTGTCGTCAACGGGCAAGGACCCGAGGCCGTAGCCATGCTGCGTGCCTTTGGAACCGAGAACCACGCAAGCGAGTTTGACTGGGATGCGCATTACGGGCAGGGCTTTGACGTGCTGCATATGAGCAGCGCACCACGCTTGTTCTTTTCCGCCGATGGCGTCGTCAACATGCGCGTACAGCTCGCACTGGCCGAGCAGGGCATTCTCTTCGCCAAGGGCCGCATGCCGCCATCCGTTGACTGGAAGGATGGGAAAGCCGAGGCCGCCGTTCCCGCTGTCATCTCGTCGGCTCTCGAGAGTCTGTCCATCAAGTACGTGGATAATGATGCCGACCGGTCGACGGCGCAGGGAGACATGGCCATTCTGCTTTACCTCGATGGCCTCCACGGGAAGCGAAGTGAGCCCAGCACGGGCCACGCCCGCATCTTGACGCGCTTCCAGCAGGGCCACGCCCGCATCTTGACGCGCTTCCAGCAGGGCCTCGCCCTCCTTGACAAGTGGCGCGCTATCAGATCGCAGGAAACAGAGGATGTGACTGTGAAGCAACCAGCCAAGCCACTGAAACGGGAACTCACAGTCTGGAACGATTATGCCGCCGAAGATGAGAGCATCGCAGGTGAGGTCGTATCCATTGCCGACTTTGCCGTCTGGCCGGTCCTGCACGATATTGTGCAGACGCTCGGCGAGGGGGTCCTAAACGGTACGAAGTCCTTGAAGAAGTATTATCAAGCGTTTTCGGAGAGGGAGGCTACGATGAAAGTATTGGCTGTTGACCCGCCGTCGGTGACGGCGGCAGAGACACAAACAAAGCCGGAGCCTCAATCTGAAACGGAGGCAAAGACAGAGGGAGGGGCAAAACCAGAAGCAGAGGGAGATGCAGGGGTAAAAGCAGAGGAATAGGTAAAGACAGAGGGAAGGGGGACAGCAGAGGGAAACTCAGAGGCAGCGGCAAAGAAGAAGACTGCGAAGCAAAGACTCTCGCGCTTGGTGCTGCGAAAAAGACGGATGATGTTTCGAAGGCGCAGTAGTTGACAATATAGCCCGGAATCTGGAGGTTCAACATTAATTCAAGGAACGAACCAAAATTAATTCCACCTGAGACGACCAAGCCGACGTGTGCAGGGCACGGCGCCCGGGTGCGTCATGACCATCTAGTGTACTGAACGGTGACATGGAGTTGCCGCTTGGATCCGGTTCTGTCAAAGCATGCTGTCGTGTCAAAACAACATCCGACTGCACTGTGCGTGAAACCTGTTGAAGATTCGGTAGCCTATCTAGTGCGAGGTAGATACAGGTACATACGCAGCATAACGAGTTAAGACGCCAGCCCGCAACTCCATTTGCAAGAAAAAGAGATAGAAAAAAAAAGTGATTTTCTTCCATCATCGTGTACCAGGACCATGTGGCCGTGACAGGAGGAAGTCGGTAAGCAGACACACGATGAGTCAATCTTCAAGTTTGTAAGTACATTTCATTCGTCTTTCGATCACACATGTCTCACCCGGCCGCTCTATGCGCGCGAGGACACCCAGGGAAGTGGGTAGGTTCCAACCCAGTCTGACACCTCGGACCGCAGCTGCACAATCTCGGGGTCCGAGTCGCCGTTGCCCAGGTGTGCCATGAAGATGCGTTGCAGGCCAGGCTTCTTCTCGCCGCGCTCGGCGGCCGCCTTCTTGGCCGCCTTATCAATGCGCACAGCAATGGTGACGGCGCGGTCGATGATATCAGCGACGCGGCCAAAGTCCTCCTCGCTGAAACCCCTCGTCGTCATGGCCGGGGTGCCGATACGCAGGCCGCCGGGTACAAGCGCCGAGCGATCACCAGGCACGGTGTTCTTGTTGGATGCGACGCCGACGAGCTCCAGCACACGCTCGACGCGGCTGCCGTCAATGCCTTGGGGCTTGAGGTCGACCAGCACGAGGTGATTCTCCGTGCCGCCACCGACGAGCTTGTAGCCAAGGCCGCCCTTCTCCTTGGACTCCCCGAGGCGGTGGGCTAGGGCCTTTGCGTTGGAGAGGACCTGGGTCTGATAGGCGCGGAATTCGGGGGTCTGGGCCTGCTTGAGCGCGACCGAGAGGGCCGTGATGGTGTGGTTGTGGGGGCCGCCTTGGTGACCGGGGAAGACAGAGGAATTGATGGGGTTCTCGAGGTTGTACAGCTCGTCCTCTTTGGTCTTGGCATTCTGCCTCCTCACGCCCTTGCGGAAGAAGATCATGGCGCCGCGAGGCCCCCTCAAGCTCTTGTGACTTGTGGTTGTGACGATGTCGGCAAATGAGAATGGACTGGGCAGGACCTTGGCGGCAACGAGACCGGATATGTGAGCCATGTCGGCGAGGAGGTAGGCGTCTACCTTGTCGCAGATCTCGCGAATGCGCTTGTAGTCTATGAGGCTGCTGTAGGCACTAGCGCCAGCGACGATGATCTTGGGCCGGTAGATGATGGCCATCTCCTCGAGCTTGTCGTAATCAATGATGCCCGTGGTCTCATTTAGACGGTAAGGCACTGTCTCGAAATACTTGGAGATGGCTGAGATCTTCTTGGTCGGAGTCTGGTATCCGTGGGACAGGTGGCCGCCGTGAGGCAGGTCGAGGCCCATGAGGCGGTCATGGGTGTTCATGAGGGCAGAATACACGTAGAGGTTGGCCGGCGCACCGGAGAGGGCTGAGAGAAGAAAGAGAGGTCAGTCACCCAGAGCAAAAAAAAAAAGAAAGAATCGTCCCGTAGGTGGGTAGTCTTTTCTCGTGCGTGTGTCTACATACCTTGGACGTTGACGCCCCATTGGGAGGGGTCGAGATCGAAGGCCTCCAGCGCACGCTGCTGGCACAGCCGTTCCGACTGGTCGATAAACTCATTGCCGCCGTAGTATCTCGCTCCAGGATAGCCCTCGGAGTACTTATCTTCGCTGGGCGTTAGATGTATACCATCTCGCGGTTACCGAGGTTGGTTTTCTGGCTTACTCTGCATGACACTGCCCAGGGCGTCGAGGACGGCCTGAGATGTGAAGTTCTCGGAAGGAATGAGGTTGATGAAGTGCTTCTGCCTGTTCTTTTCCTTCTCGATAATGTCGAAGACGGCCGGGTCGGCTTGCTGCAGGTTGCTCGAGAGAAGCTGTGTACACCACCAACGCGTCAGTCCATGGCGGTGGTCAATTGATGCAGCAAAACTTCCTACCTGCTGCTGTCCCTCGACATTCAGGGAAGACAGCGGCCTGACAGCTCCACGCGACTGGAGGACAGGCGCCGATCGAGCATGGGCGGTTGGCCTCTTGATTATGGCAGCGGCGGCGGGCGAGGCGCAACGGCGCAAGGCACGAGACGTGCTTCGGAGGGCGGAGGCAGACATGGCGGCGGAGAGGTACGGCCCCGGGTCTTCAATCGTTTGTCCTGGGACACCACTTGAGCCGAACAATGCCTTGACAGGAGGGGGGGACGGCTGGTTAAAGTAGGAATGGGTAGGAGTGAGTCGACAACGGGCGGTGTCGGCGGGGATTGGAGTCGTGCGTCGAGCAACTTGCCACAAGAGGGAAGCTCCAAGAGGCACTGTGGTTTCCTTTCCGGCTGGTAGAGCCGAATCCAAGCGGTCATCCGTCAATCACCCCTCCCGAGAGAGGGAAGGCGAGCTCCACATGCCTGAGAGCCGACAACGCTGTGCACGCGCCAGCCACTGCCCATCTACCGGCCCCCCCTTGCCTGCACCTTCCACTTTGCCCCCCAAGTCCTTCCCTGTGACGAAAGAACGGAAGAGAGGGCTGGGGCAGGCCAGCACGGTGCTCGTTAGATAAGCAGAAAATCGGGGCTGGGGGTTGCTACTGGCTCACAGTGCCCTCTCGCCTGCGTCGTGGGCCTGTCAGTGTGTACGTGCGTGAGCGAGAGAGAGGGAGCCGTCAATAAATTGGCCAGTCGCCCTCCTCGGCGCTGCCTGCCCTTTCTCTTCTTCTCTTCTTTACAACTAAATTGGAGATGATGAGACCGCTTTCAAAACTCGCATACTGCTCATTCCGCCTCACGGCGGGAGCATGCTGACATGTCCCGGCACACCTCACCACCTTTGCAGGGACAATTCTGAAGCAATCTGATCCAATCCATGTTGTTCGTGCTTTCATTGTCTCTTTTTGGCTACCTCCAATGCTCATTTACCCAACTGTTACCCAATCTTTTGTCTCCCAAGCCTGGCCGCCATTGCCCTCGCCCCCCCTCCCATTTGTGCACCCGTCCCGCTGCGGCCCATCTCTGGCGCCGCTCCATTTTTGACTCGGTGCCCCGACTCGGTGCTCCTGAATCGGCAATGAGAGAATGTGATGCTGCTGCGACCTTGTGAGCAACAACAAGCTGTTTTTGCATACCCTTGTAACGACACGATTTCCAAAGTGATGTGACAACCTTCGACATCGCTCGCATCGTGAACGCAAGAAAAAGTCCTAAAGCCACATCGATTTCACACCTCGTACCTGGCCCACGGTCAACGTACCGTACCCAAAGGTCGGGCCCTATCACCTGCGCTATGACACGATTTTGTAACACCGAGGCACACAAACATTGACTGGAAGCCACCACTTTCCCACTCCCTGTTTTTTTAGTGTTCCTGATAACTGATGTCTAGGGTATCGAGCTCATGGAGCCTTGGCATTTTTACAGACATGCAAAAGAAGTGCAGACCGAGCCAAGTAAGAGTGTCATGTCTTTTCATTTGCATGTCGACGCATTCCATTTTTTCAATGCTACATGCCAAAGCCCTGCTCGTCACCGCGACGGCCAAGTAGGACGCAAAAAAAAGAATGACCCAACCCGATGACTCCGAATGTAGCCTCCTCAGGACCGTGATCGAGATGCAGTCGTCTTCATTTATTTGGTCTCCTCCTCGACATCGCCCATAAGAGCGTTGCGCTTGGCAGTCTGCCTCTCCACCTTGCGCTCGCGGGCGGCCTTGGTCTTCGCGCGCTTGGCGTCCATCTCCTCCTTGAGGGCGTTCTCGCGGGCCTTCTCGGCCTTGGCACGGTGAATCTGTACGAGCCGTGTCAGTCATCCGCTGGCACATCTCGGATCGCCTGCTCCATGGAATACGTACGTGCTCGACAAGGGCGCGCTTGTGCTTGAAGGTGTTACCCTTGCTCAGGTGGTAGAGCTCGTGGTACAGGTGCTTGTCAATCTTGCCGTTGTTGCGGTACTTGACCAGGAGACGGCGGAGGACGCGGAGGCGGCGCATCCAGAGGACCTGGCTATTTCGGGGGTCAGAACCAACGTCCCTCTCGTGGCGTCTGATGATTTGTTCAGGGAGAGCACAAACCTGGGCATACGGGCGTCGGCGGTACCCTTCCTCTTACCGAAGCCACGGTGACGACCGATGCGACGGGCAAGGTTAAGCTCACGGGCGCGAGACCTGGAGTGCATGGTGACGGGCTTGCGGATGATGAGGCCATCGGAAACGAGCTTGCGGATGGACTGGCGGGAGTTGGCGTTGCTAATCTCGCTGACCTCGTTGGGGTCGAGCCAGATCTTGCGCTCACCGCAGCCGATGACCGACGCGGCCAGGCGCTTCTGGGTGCGGAGGTTGACCCTGTGTGGCACCGAACATTAGTATCAGGTCGTAATTATAAATTTTTGTTCCCCTCGTCATTTTCATGTTGAGTCGCGGCTGGCGGAGTGGTGTGCTGGGAGAATTGGACGTCGTCGATCTTGGTTGTGGGAGAGTAAAAATTGTCGTGCAAGTTGCTGGCTCCTCTCGTGTCGTCAAACTGGCCCCTCGCTGTGCCTTCTTGCACAGGGGCGGATCGTTTGCGGGTGTCGAAAATATATCTCGATCGAATCTCCCAGCATCGCACCCGTACCACTGCTCAATCTCTCGATGAATCTCTCGTAGCCAACTTACATCTTGAATGCTGTCCTGGCGGATGGTCGTGCCCGGGTTAGTTGGTCGTTGAGAAAAACTGAAGAGGGGAACGGAGGCGGGTGTCGAGTTCAGTTCAGATTTTCGAGACGTGCTTGTGGGTTGGGTGGAGCCCAGCCCAGGCGTAGCGGACGATTCGTCCCACTAAGCGAGGGCTCCTGCCGGATGATTCATGATGACGGTCACGTGATGAAGCCCATCAATTCGATTCGGAGGTTATATAACTGTTTAATGCATACCGAAATCATCACGCAGTCTCTATGCAGTTACATCAAGTACCTGGGATGGTCGGCCTGGGCCACTCTTGTCTTTACTGCACTCGCTCATTGATCAGAGCAGCAAGTGACACCAGAATCATTCACCAGAATACCATCGACCCCCCCCGTCACGGACGTGTCCACGAGAAACAGCTGTTCCTTGTATTCTAATTTCTTTGGAAATCAAATCGCAGGTGGCACCTATTTGCCGAAAATGTCCTCACCCACATCTACCTTGCCCACACTCCAAATCTCCTTTTCGTCTTCGACCTCATCATTGGACAATCCCAGTCCACCCTGTCCGCCCTCTGCCTCTCTTCTCTCACGCACCTGAGCTCCCAGCCGGAGAGCCACACGCTTGAAGTAGTCCTGCATGCTCCTCTTTGCGTTGGGCGCAAGACCAGCATTATCCACATACTTGTCAAATACCTTGCTTTCCTCGTCCGCCACGTTGAATAGACTGACGAAAGCGGCTTCTGCCGCAAGCTTAACGGGGATCACAGGGTCCCTCACGCTCGCAAACACAGGCGTGGCGAGCAGAGGCGTGTGCGGGCGTACCATGTCCATGTCAACGCGACTCAAGGTTCGTGCAACTACCAGAGCCAGACGGCGGGAGTCTGTTGGCTGGCCAGGCTGGATGATGCCTGCCAGTGTCTCAAATATCTTCTTGTTGGCTTCAAACGTCTTGGGCGACTCCGAAAGCAAGTACTTGCCTGTGGCAAGGATGAAGTTGTCGGCGATGAAAGGCTGCCGATATAGTTAGTGGGTGTAAAAAGCCACCACATGCTTGTTTTCACTTACAGTCTTATTTGTCATACCGTGGCAGAGAACCTCAGGGAGGTCGTCGGCCAGCGGCCCGCCGAGCAAGCTTTCCGGTGACTCCACAAGCACTGCGTTTAGTGCCAGAACGGAGGACTTGCTGATTTGGTTTGTGATGACACGGTTCCTCAGAAGACCATGTGCGGCATCCTCGGGAACGTTCTTAATTAGGGCTCCCAGAAGCTTGGCGCTCGTGATGGTCATTGCAGAGTCCTTTTCATCGCCTTCCATGTCAATTAGGCCCAGCACCGCGGCACGCGACGATTCGCCCATGTTAGCGCCGGCCTTGCTGATAACCTCATACAAAGCGCTCAGCATGGCAGTCTTGACACCCGCGTCAGATGTCTTCGATCCCGTTACAAGCTCGGCGATGAGGGGATCGATGCGAGGAGTATACTTGATTAGAGTCCCCAGAGCCTTGGCAGCGCGAGCTCGCAAGAGTTCACTTGTCGTGTCAGCCAGCGACTTGGCGAATGTGCGCTGAAGTTGAGGCAAGAAGGGCTTCAGTGCAATCGGCATCTTCTCCAACAGATTGTTGAGAGTTAGGAGAATAGCAGCCTTGACTTCGGTAGACCTTTCGGACACCACACGAATGAGGGGTCCAGTAATCTGCGTGACGAACGGCTTGAGCGCCGTCTCACTGGCACGGTCCACAATGTCGGAAATAGCCAGAGCAGCTTGCGTGCGTTGCTCTGCTGTGCCATTCATCAGACCCTGCAAGAATATAGGCAGAATAGCGTTGATGCCCTTTGGTAGCTCGAAGCCCTTTAGGCTTGCGCCAGCGACACCAACATGCTGCAAGGCCTGGCGTGTTGAGAATACGAGCGCCTCCATTTCCTCCTTCTTGAGTTTTCGCGTGAACTCGTTGAGTGCAGTCCAGGAAGCCTTGACAACATCGATATCTCCATCATCAAACGAAACAAGCAACGACCTGATAATATCTTGGTTGTATCGTGAATAATCGACCTCGCCAGCAGCAAAGAATTTGGCGAGATGATTTGCCGTCGCCTGGCGTCGCCTATGGTCTTCGTGTTTGGTAAGTTGCAGAAGCACATTCATTACCGTATTTAATCCGTCATGCTCGTCAATCGACAGAATGACGGTGTCAAAGGATGTCTCCAGATCAACGCGTAGGTCATCCTCTTTGCAATTGACAATGTTATCCATAAGAGAGTTGATGATATTGGGCAGGCGCCGGTTCATGGCGGCACCAGCAACTCGGGACAGCGAGGCGAGCGCCTTGGCATCGAAAGCAGTAATGGGCGGTGTGATGAGTGTGGGGATCAAGTTGGGGAGGATGATGTTGGATCGTGTCGTCTCTGTGAGAAGAGTCAAAAGAGCAGACAGAGCATTGTCGGCCTCGTTCTCTGAGCGCAGAAGGTT